ATTACAGGACTTAATGACTACAGGCCTGTGGCTCTAACGTCTGTGGTCATGAAGTCTTTTGAAAAACTGGTGCTGGCCCACCTGAAGGACATCACTGGACCCTTGCTGGATCCTCTTCAGTTTGCCTACAGAGCAAACAGGTCTGTGGACGATGCAGTAAACATGGGACTGCATTATGTTCTGCAACATCTAGACAGACCAGGGACTTATGTGAGGATCCTGTTCGTGGACTTCAGCTCGGCCTTTAACACCATCATCCCAAACCTCCTCCTGCACAAACTAACTCAGCTCTCCGTGCCCACCTCCGTCTGTCAGTGGATCAACAGCTTCCTGACAGACAACAGGAACAGTTTCTTCCCTCAGGCCATCCATCTCATGAACACTTGACAATAACTGTGGATCACACAACACTATTTATACACTTACACACTTATTTATCTAACACACATACTTAGTCTACATTTCAATTTTGCACTAATATACCTGTACATACAATTGTAAATTTGTATATTGTATTCCGTATTTACTTGTTCTATATTTTATTTTATTTTATTTTTTTTTATCTGTGTTTTTGTTCTGTCACTGTCATTCTGTTGCACTGTGGAAGCTTCTGTCACAAAAACAAATTCCTCGTATGTGTAAACATATCTGGCAATAAAGCTCATTCTGATTCTGATTCTTAATAAACAAAAACATTGTATAGATTTTAAAATCTTGCTTATTACTTATAAAGCCCTGAATGGTTTAGCACCTCAGTATTTGAACAAGCTCTTATTGCATCCGCTGTGTTCTCAAAACTCAATTTGATAATACCTAGAATCAAAATCAACTGTGGGCGGCAGATCCTTTTCCTATTTAGCGCACAAACCAAAATTTGCCAGAATGAAACATTTCTAATATTCAAATCCATTAAAGGATTTTTAGGCTGCATTCATTAGGACAACCGGAACCGGGATCACTTCCCATAACACCCGATGTACTTGCTACATAGTTAGAAGAATGGCATCTACGCTAATATTATTGTTTCTTTCTTATTCCGAGATCACCATAGCCACCAGATCCAGTCTGTATCCAAATCAGATGGTCACTGCAGTCACCCGGATCCAGTCCGTATCCCGCCCAGCGGATAAGACCTAACTTGTGCTACAAAACTTTCAACCTCTGTAGCACCAGTGCTATGTGCAAAAAAAGTTAACGTACAGCCCTGCAATGTTTGGCAAACACAATATATATGACTATTCACAATATGACTATTCACAGATGTCCTTCTAAATGTGTTGCAAGCCATTTAATTCAATACCCCAATCAACACTTTTAACAATCACTTTGGCAAGATATCCTTTTTATGTACAACAATAAATTGACATTTCAAGATGCATGCTGAAAAGACTTTTTTTTTTTTAAAGATCTTTGCCAACTAGCCATCTCATGTTGGGTTCAAAAGATTTTGGCTACTTTTGTTTATTGTTTGCAAAGCAACATTTAAAAGGCCTAAAACTAAAAGACAAAGAAGCACACTTCAGTTAAAAAGGCACACAATCATAGTTTTCTTAAAAAAGACATTCACATCCAAAAATGATGAAAATGTCTTTTTCTTGTTTATTCACTTAATATTTATATATATATTTTTTACAAAATAAAAAACATTATGAAACAAAAAAAAATGCTAACAAGTCTGTGTGTAAGGATTCGAGAGGGGAGAAAAGAAACCATCAAACATTGACTACAGTACTTGTGTTTTTATATATATATATATGTACAAGACAAGTTTATCCATTTAAATTTTTAAAACGCACAGTACAAAAAGAAAGTCACTGACAAAAGAAAAAAAAATGAGAAAAAAAAATACCCATAGTACAATTCTGTCCATCAGCACTTTCCTAATAATCATATTACTAAAAGAATATATTTGGGGACAGAAGGTGGCGCATTTCAGGGGGAGAATGACTGCAGGTATGAGAGGAGGACAAAGCCTGTGGAAAAACACACAGGGTGGCCGAAGAAAACCGAATGACCAAATGAAAAACATCAAAACGCAGAGGTCAAAAGTCATGCCTTAACATAATCCAGTCTCCCTGCTATAGGAAAGGCGGTTAATGAGGACCAAAAAAATATCAGTTTGCAGAAAATAAGTCTAAAGTATAAGGTGACCAGTGCACTTCTCACATCTGGAGAGTACAATAGGCTCCAATAAAGAAATTAAAAAGGAATACACATTGAAGCCTATTCTATAAGTACAACATTCATACACTGGCCACCCTGACGATGCAATTCATTCATTCACACACAAAATAAACCCAAACGCACACACATGCGCACACACACGCAGTACAGATCCGAAGCCTGTGAACTCACCTTTACATTTTTTTTTTTCCATATATCCATTTATATTTGGTAAAAAATAAACTTCACAACTGCACTAGCCGATTTAGAGTGATATCTTTTCCCAAAATAAAATTTGGTAAAAACTCACTGCAGGGGGAGAAACAGAGGAGGTGCATGTACATTTGGATTGCAGGTGCTGATCAAGCAAGAAGCAGAAAGGAGGGAAATAAACAAACGAAAAAAAAACTGCCCTCTCTCCCTCTAACATACCTCTCTTTTTCATTTTATCCAATAGTAAAAAGCAAAAGAAGAGGGGAAAAACTAAACATTTGTCCTTTTAGAAAACAGATCTATGTTACATATTCCAGAAAGAAAAAAAAAAGGGGGGGTTTGGGGCTTTTATGTATTTTGAACACAATACAAACTCCAAATACTCAATACTCCAATCATGAAGGCCTAAGTAACTATCCATATATTGACGAGATCACGCTCCCCGTTAAGACTTCTCCCTCCATGCCCCTTCTTCAAGCGGCGACTTGCAGTGCTGTATCTCTCTAAGGACAGCGCCACCAGTGGAATGGGGCTGGTACTGCAGGGTGACCGTGCAGACAGAGGAGAGTGAGCGCCGTGGAGGACAGAGAAAAGGGGGAGATTTCTGGGGAGAAAGGTATGGTTCCACTAATCCAGCCTTTGGAACACCAGACGGGGCAAGACAGGGTATTAATTGCCTCCCCAGGTGTAGCTGTTGTATCCGGACTTGTTGATCTGTGACTTCTGTTGAATGGAGGCATTCTGACTGCGTTGCCCAGAGCCACTCTGAGAGAAAGGGAAAAAAAAAAATCTTAAAAATTAAGTCATTTTTAACCTGGCTTACACATAACACACTAATACGCTTCTAATATTCAAATCCGTTAAAGTATTTTTAGGCTGCATTAATTAGGTCAACCGGAACCGGGAACACTTCCCATAACACCCGATGTACTTGCTACATTGTTAGAAGAATGGCATCTACGCTAATATTAGTCTGTTTCTCTCTTATTAGTCTTATTCCAAGGTCACCGTAGCCACCAGATCTAGTCTGTATCTAGATCAGATGGTCACTGCAGTCACCCGGATCCAGTACGTATCCAGCCCAGATGGTGGATCAGCACATAGAGATGACCTCTACAGCCCTGAAAAACAGGGGAGACCAGGACATCTAGATGAGCCCCAGATACAGATCCCCTGTAAAGCTTATCTCCTAGACAGCCATCGGGACAAGACCACAGGAACCAGATGAGTCCTCTGCACAATGTGACTTTGCTGCAGCCTGGAATTAAACTGCTGGTTTCGTCTGGCCAGAGGAGAACTGGCCCCTCAACTGAGTCTGGTTTCTCTGTCACCGATGGAGTTTTGGTTGCTTGCCGATGTCGCCTCTGACTTGTTTAGTTGGGGACACTTAATTTCCAGCGATATCGTCGACTTGATTGCACAGATACTATTTAAACTGAACTGAGCTGGATGATGACATCATTGAATTCAATGATGAACTGCCTTTAACTGAAAATTGAGTGTTTACTATTGTCATTTTGCATTATTGACACACTGTTTTCCTATTTAATGTTGTAAAGCTGCTTTGACAGAATCTGTATTGTTAAAAGCGCTATATAAATAAAGGTGACTTGACTTGACTTTAGGTCCACAGCCCTGCAGAGTTTAGTTCCAAACCTGCTCCAGCACACAAACCATGTAGTTCCCAAATAATTCTGAAGGACTTGATTAGCTTCATCAGCTGTGTTTAACCCCTTAACTGTCACCCCACCCCACCACACACTTTTCTTTTGAATATAGACATGAAAATGCAGAAAATAATTTGTTGTAAGTCATGAATGCTTTGAAATACAGACCTAAGGTTGATCTCTTTAAAATTAAAATTGGTTATAAAATTAAAGCCATATGTGTAAATAAGTTATGTTGAGGTACCTGTGAGATTTTTATTAAGCCATTATACAAAAAAATAAAAATAAAAATAGCCACCAGGTGACACCTGAACTCCACTGATTTTTTTAATGCATTTCCCGGTCACAAATTTATTTCGCAACATTACTTCTATTACAAAAGCACAAAAAAAAAAAAAAACACCAAATATGGACTTTTGACATCCAGACCTTTCAACAATATGTATTTTCTTAAGATTTAAAAAAGTTTTGATGTGACAAATATTTACAAAACCCTCCTGAAATTTTTCGAAAGCTTCCAAAAAATCATGGAAAGTTTCAGAACTTTTCCACCTTTTTGCAATCATAAACAGGAATGAATAGAACTGAGTGAACTTACAGTACATTGTTTTATATGAAGGCCTGTGTGTGTAATTAATTTCTTCATATTTCTTTTACTTTTAAGAGAACACTTAATTTTCCAGAACATTATACAATTCAACATCCTGTGTGTTGTGGTCAGTTCAGCTCTAATTCACACTCATTAATTGAAGAGAGGCCAATTCCTAAATTCTGAATTTGCCCAATTTAGGTCTGCATGTGTACAAAAGGACTTGGTATTAAGATTGCTGTAAGGGTTTTATTTATGGAATGGTATAAAGAAAATTATCTTTCACAACACTACTAGTCATTTTACAATAAAAGATTAATTTAAAAAAGTGATTTTTTTTTTTTTTTACTAAGAAACAGAATTACATCCACTACTATGAAATCACAGCTGTGCTAAAATAAACCTCAAATTAAATAATTAAAATAAAAGTTGCATTTAACTGTTTTAAGGGAGTTTACAATATATCAATCATATGAACACATTTTACATGTACTGCTGATCTTCTCAACCAGCACAGAATTACTCCTTTTACATGTCCTGCCACAGTGTTGACACTTTTGAGCACACAGCTGGAGTCAAATTGAGCCAGGACCACCACTGCTGCCGCTGAAACTAGGTGTACATAAGGAGAGTGTAATCGTGTTTAAATCCATTACAGAGAAGAACATTATTAGAATTTGCAAGAAATAATAAGTGTAATGTGATAAATTACCTTAAAAATGTGTAACTCGTGAAAACACATATCCATTTGCCTGAACTCTCCATGTCACTTTTGTTTCCTTTTCTATACCCCATTCCTTCAGCTTCTGTTTTATCTAAAGAAAAATCAAATATGATATGAGCTATTTTCTTTTAATTTTCTCTATGGTTTGCAATTTGCAACGCTGTTACTAAAATGAGAGACATCTGAATACCATTTAAATCTTTAAGTAAAACAGTGATTCTTATGACTTAAAATTTTCTAGCAGTAAACAACACTACATACAAAATTTATAAGTTTTTGCCAGAATGTGTAGCAGGGTTGGCAAGACAATCTTAAATGAAGCGGTCACTCAGCTAGTTTAAAGGGATAGTTCACCCAAAAATGAAAATTCTATCATTAAAGTCGGCATGAAACGGAAGTTGTGATTGTCTTTTTTTCTCTACTGTGACGTATATCCGAGTGAAACGGCATCTGAAATGAGAGGGCGGGACTTGATTTCATCCTTCGGGAATTGATTGGTGCTATAAAGTGAAGCATCAGCTTCAGCTTTCCCCCCCAAACCAACACTCACTGCAGCTGGTGGCAGTTCCAGATAGCTCCGCCTTGCGCCATAGCTCGTGATCGGAAGAGTAGAGGAGTCGTTTTGAGGGGGAGGGGAGGTTAACGTTTTTGATTAAAGATTACGAGGGCACATGAATTAAAAAAAAAACAATGAAGTGCACGGATAAATTATTTATAATAAACATCAAAAAATAAGAATTGTCAATTTTGATTTCATGCCGACTTTAATTACTCACCCTCATGTCGTTTCAAACCCATAAGACCCTTGTTCATCTTCGAAACACAAATAAAGATATTCTTGATAAAATCTGAGAATACTTTTTGTGTGCAATTAAAGAGAACAAGAATTATGACTTCGTTCAATGATTCCTTCTCTTCCGTGTCAGTCTCTGCGCATTTGGATTTCATCAAAAATATATTAATTTGTTTTCTGAAGATGAACAAAGGTCTAACGGGTTTGAAACGACTTGAGGGTGAGTAATTATTGACAGAATTTTCATTTTTGGGTGGACTATCGCTTTAAAACCAAATATTGGTTTATATATAATTCACACAACCACAATATTGTGGTTATAACAGGGTATGTCCTCATGGTGCATGTTGGGCCTCTCATGTTGAATCAGACTGTACATTCTCCTGTCTCCCGTAGGACAGACTAATTTGGAGAACAGTGTCAGACTACAGATATATATTTGACTTTGTCCTCTCTGTCCCTGTTCGGCCACATTCTGCGTTTCTGGTGACAGCACTCCAGCTGTGCACTTTAAATGACAGTTATTCGTAGGAGAGGAGAAATGCAGAAAAGACAAAGAAGAGTTTTTTGTTTTTTTTTTGCGTTGCATTGCATTGGTTTAGGATTGCAGAAGAGTTTTTTTTTTTTTTTTGCGTTGCATTGCATTGGTTTAGGATTGCAGAATCATTAAATTCTGATTGAAAAGCTGTGACTTTAGCTGCTTTTTGAAAAGTTGTGGTGGTTTCAGCAGTTCGGGTATAGGTTGGCAGCTCATTCCACCAGAGAGAAGCAGAGAAGGTGAAAGTTTTGGAAAGTGACATTGTGCCTCTTTGTGAAAGAACAAGGTGCTGCTTGTTCAGTGACTGTAGCTGGTGAGAGAGAGCATACACTTGTGAATTGAGATGAGAAGGTACAGTTCCAATGGCTGTCCTGAAAGCTACTGTCAAAGCCTTAAAATGATTCTGGCCACAACTGGGAGCCAGTGGAGTGACATCAGGAGGAGTGGAGGCCAGATGTGCTACTGCATTCCGGATCATCTGCATTGGCCTAGTCGCGCCGATTGGAAGGCCCACCAATAGAGCACTGTAGTTGTCCAGTGTTTAAATTTTGAGAGCTTAACCAAGGAGCTTTGCTGCATATTCTGTCACGAAGGGTCTGAATTTCCTGATCTTGTAAAGCACAAACCTACAAGATGGAGCCATTGTCGAAATGTAAAAGTAGTTAGTCTTTAATCACAACCCCAGGTTCTTTGCTTTCCTGTTTGACATTAATGTTGTAGACCCACAGTTGAACAGTGATGTTGTGGTTTGCAGGGATTACAAGAAGCAGTTTTCACAAGACTGAGCTAGAGATGGCACTTCATCATCCAAGCTGAGATGTTTGAACGACAGATCCTGACATGAACTGAAGCAGTGGGGTCATCAGGTTGAAACAACAGATATAGCTGTGTATCATCTGCATAGCAATTGTAGAAGAAGCTATGTGTCTTTATAATCATGCCCAGTGAGGTTGTGTAAATGGAGAAAAGGAGTGAGCATTGAACCTTGAGGCACCCCTGTGATTAGTTGATGTGATTCAGACACCCCTCCTCTCTGTGAAACCTTTAAATATATGCATGTGAGTTATGGGGGAGCCGATGGTCAAAGGATGATCACAGTGTCAAAGGGAGCAGACTGGTCCAGTAGAATCAGGACAGATGATTTGGAGTTTGATTTTGTTTTAGCAACAGGCAGCAAGGCAGTCTCCATGGAATGTCTGCTTTTGGAATCGGAATGGTTATTGTCAAGTTGGTTGTTCTAGGAGAGAAAAGCTCTTTCAAAACTCTTTCAACAGATTTTCAAGATAAGACAACATTGAGTATTGGTTTTTTAAACCGTAAGGTTGTCTGAGCCTGCTTAAATGCAGTGGGTAAATTGTCAGTAGTAATGTTGTTGATGATGTGAGTCAGAGCAGGCAGCAGCATTGATGAGATCTGCTGTTGTAGGTAGAAGGGGATTGGGACTAAGAGGCAGGTTGTAGAATGGCTTGCAAAGAGAAATTTGGAGACCTTGTTATCCACTAGTGGAAAAAAGGAAGAGAAGAGTGGAATGTGTGTGGGTGGAGGTTGGCAGTTGTTGAGTGGTGAGGAGAACTGGTTGCTTATGTTTGCCACCTTATAAGGGATATAATTGGTAAAGTCATCAGCAGTCGGTCAGTTAGTCTTACGCAATGACTGTCAGGCAACTGTATTGCTTGATATAGGCTTCACTGATATAGGCCTTAGTCAACCGAGTCTTCAACATCAAACTTCAGTCATAAAAGTCTGATGCTCTCTTTTGTAAGGTTGTTTAAATCATAGAGGAGGGGTTTGCTATCCAATTTTAATGCTGCACACCTCTTTTCAACTGAAGTGCTCCAAGTGGCTGCCGAGAGATTTTATGACACCAAAGAGGGATGGTAGTTTATGCCTGATCATGGGATTTACATACTTTTGAACTTCAATCTGGAACACAGGAAGATCATCAGGTTTGCTTTTGGGGGCAAAGCTGACCAATTCTAGGTTTCTCCATTCGGCCTGGCCTTAGCAATTCATACCTTCATGAAGTGCATGAATGCCGCTCGGGCAGCATTGCAACTCCAGGGAATTATGACAGACACCTTGTCAGTACCTTGGGGCAAAGATTTCAAAGGTCACAGTCTTTGTGCTGTAAGGGCCTTACATATTAACATTGACTGCACAAGCCAGTGGCATAATGTGATCAGTTGTTTGTTTTGTTTTGGGGGCTACAACAGAGGTGTTTCAGATCAAAGAATGTGAGGGTGAAAAATACTATTGCTCTTGCTTACAAGGCACATGGGTTAACTTCAACTTTTGGCATTCAAGGTCTCTCTACTAGAAATTTTGTCAGTTATCTAATTGTGGATCTTTGGAGGCCATTTGTGTGGTGGCAGGCTGGGCCTCTATGCACATTTTTATAATCTGGATGGGGACTTTGGTCACAGCTTCGTTTTGTGTTTTTCCAACTCAATGGGAAAGGAGACATTAACAGATACACCAAGTTCTGAGTTTCTGAACTGGCCCAGATGCCTGGTCCATATAGTAAGGACTCTCTTGGCACAATGGAAGTTCAGCATCACCCAGGTCAGCATATCAACGGCTACTGGAACGCAACTCTGTACCCTCCCCACTGTACGCAATCTGCATCGCCAGTGGAGGACGAGGTGGTGGCGAAGGGCAGGATGAGAGGCAGGCAGATGACCAGTGCGGTGATGACAGAGGGAGGAGCCATGGAGGAATCAGGAGGAAGTACGGCGGATCAAGACTGAGGGAGGAGCCAGGGAGAAGACAGGGAGCAGGAGCAGCCTGGTGGGACCCAGATTGTAGTAGGGCTGCACGATTAATCGAAATTAAAATGCAATCGAGATTAGGCAAAAGCTGCGATTGTCATGCATATCCATCAGTGAAGCACGGTTCTGTGATAAGTAGTAAATCTCCATCCGAAGGCCAGAGGGCGCTCTTGCACTGAAACTCCAAATATGCCCCGCAGAAGAAAGGTAATGCACGTGTTTCAGATTAATTGATTCAACGTGATTAATAAACACAGGACTACAACAATATATGGTTTATCTGAGTTCTTTTTGTAATTTTCATTATAATAAAGTACATTTATAATGCAGTGCTAAGTAAGTTTGGAATAAAAACATGTTATTAAATGTGGTATTTTGTGGGACAAGAGATGTTTTTGTTTCATGAATGTTTTTCATTTATGAATTACAAGTATTCATAAATGCTTCTCATATTTTTAAAGATGCATGTTGCTTTTTCAAATGCACGTTATAAATGACTCAAACTCGCCGTGTAAAGGTTCAAAGGTATACAGAAGCAGGTTCAGATGGAACAGCATTTACTACACAGAGCCGTAGTTCATTGACAAGCTACTCAAACTGCTTTCATAATCGCAGAACGATTTCATCAATTTCATAATCGCGCGATAAAATCGGTCTGTGATTATGAAAGCGGTTTTGCGTAGCTTGTCAGTGAACTACGCTTCATTGTTAGTTAGCAGCTGCAGCGGTATTCCTTCTACCCACAACCTGGAAACGACGTGCATTATCTTTCTTCTGCAGGGCATATTTGGAGTTTCATCGCAAGAGGGCCTTCTGGCCTTCGGATGGAGATTTACTACTGATCACAGAACCATGCTTCACTGAAAGATACACATGACAATCGCATTTGATTAATCATGCAGCCCTAGACTGCAGCCATGAAGGTGACCCACGGTGGAGCTGATGGAGGGAGGAGCCATGGTGGTGGAAGGGCTGACGACTCCACGGGGCCGACCGACAGCGGCGGAGCAGGTGGAAGAGGAGTCCAGGGTGGAGACGGAGAGTCACAGAGCCAGGGCGATGGGGAGGATCTGGAGGGCCAGGGAAGCCAGAGCGACAGAGGACCAAGGTGGAGCCGGAGGGAGGGAGGAGCCCAACGGAGCCAGAGGGATGAAGGGATGAGGGAAGTCGGAGGAGTGTAGTCCTGAGGCGAGGGCAGGTCGATGACCGATCAAGACAGAGCCAGAGGGACGAGGGAGCCCAGCGGAGCTGGTAGACTGATGGGCCACAGTGGAGATGAGGAAGCTAGAAGTCAAGGTGGAGCCTCTGGGTCGATGGGCCGAGGCGGAGTCCAGGACTCATAGGCTGGAGGTGGAGACAAAGAATCCTCTTGCCACAATACCGATGGACCCGTGGCAAAACCACACCAATGATGGTGGGCTGAGGGTGAGCTGAGGGACTGGCAGGATACAACAGCAAAGGGGCAGATGGTGGCAGACAGCTCATGAGAGAAGGTGGGAGAGGGAGACCGGGTGGGATTTCTGGGCTGTTGTGTGTTTCTGGGATGGTGTGCGCTGCCCACAAACACCAAATAGCGACGCCCATCACAGGGAGCGCAGTGGATAGGGGAACGACCTCCGTGGTCGTGACAGCACAGACAAATAGTTCAGGGCAGACTGACAGTTCAGGAGAAGGCGGGAAAAGAATGGGCATGTCCAAATATAACCACCAACCTCAGCTCACCCTCAGCGGTGGTGCAGTGGGCAAGGTTTATCTCTGTGCCCTCCCGCTCCACTGTGACATGCTCCGCGTCGGGCTTAGTTGCCGGCTCATGCACCTGGTCAGATGTCGGTTGAGGCTCTGGCTCCGGGGCGATCCTCATCTCTGTCGCTCCTTCCAGGTATGGTATGGTGCTGGCATGGTCCTCGAGAGATCGCTCCCCCTGCTCCAGCAGTTAGGGTTGTCCATAAATAGTACCAAAAATAAAAACTTTAAAAAATTTGAAAACACGCCGACACATGCTGCATAACTTTTGTTTTAACACATGTAACAATCGACAAGACCCGACAAACTCAAACTGAACAGACAGGAACTTAAATAAACAGACCAATTGAGGATAATAAACAAGACACACCTGAACCAAATGACAATCAGACACAGACGGGAAACTAGGTCAATAGAACGCATGAGGAATGAAAACAAACTAAAAGTCCATAAAGACAGAGACAAACAGAACATAACTGTGACAATTACATTTACCTGGGGTCAGTGTTACAAATAGTAGCAATATTATTTTTTAAAGATAAATAAGCAGGTATTTATTATCATTTTTGCCCGAGCAATGAAGTGGTTTCCCATAAGAAGCATTACCACAAAATTCTCTTCTATTGCTACATTCAGTTAACAAGCATTGCATGCATCTATCCTGTTTTCATATAATTTATTTGTTTCTATGATTTAATTTAGTAATTTCTTCGTTTATTTTTTTTATTATCTGTCAGCAGTGATTATGCATTTATTGGTATCACTAATAGTTGTGGTATTTACATCTTGCATGTCTATTGTTAATAAATCATATTAGTTTTATACACTTGATTCTTTCTTGTGTTAGTGAACAAAGGCTCTACTAGGTACCTGAATTCTTACAAATCCTTCAGATAAATTAAAATAAATTACAGTAATTATAAATTATGGTTAATTTTATGTCGGATAATAACATAGGACGTGTACCACTAAAACTTCATAGGGCACTACATTGTACAGTATCATATTTTTGAAACATGAAACTGCAGATTATCCATTATCTGTTTTAACACAAATTGTTTAATACTTACCCACTGTAAGATAACAGTCATCACTGCAGGATCATTGAGATTCTGACCAGATTTGACCCTCAGTCTTACAATCTGTTTCTTTGCACCTGTTAGAATATAAAAAGTAGTGCTGTCAAAATTAGTGCGTTAACGCAGATGATTAATTTGCCAATGTAATGCCGTTAAAGATATTTAATGCAGTTAATGCAGGGGCGGATCTAGGGTTGGCTTTTTTCTGTTTTTTTTTTCTTTACAAGAATTGCATTTATTTGAATGCAGTACGGTCTTTATGGCCACATCAAATGGGAGACTTTTCAGACGTGCACTTCACTTCAGCGACAGGTACTAGTCAAACAAGCGCGGAAACTGTAAAGGTGACGAGGGAGCTTCAGTAGAACAATAGTGACAATAGAAATTTTTTACTGTTGATAACATGATGTGTAGTGCAAGAGCGGCATGGCTTGTCGGACATAGCAACAGTAATTATGGAGAGCAGGTTTTTGCGAGGGGTCAATTGCATGCATAAATACTATAAATACTGCACTCTATAGTCTGTATTATTTCATATTAAAGTGCAAATGAAACTACGAGCATGCATGTCAGATTCGTGTCACATTCAGCAGCGGCTTTAAGAGCAGCCAAATTACTGTATATTTACTACTTGCTGAAGGGCACAGATAAATATAACATTTATTATAATGGGCTTATGTAAAGATTGTTTTAAGTTCACAAAAATTCAAAGTTGTTATTGTTTTAAGTCTAATAAATGTTAAAATTGATAGGTCTCTATTAAACTGTAATGTTAAACGGCTATAGTCAATGGTTAAATATTAGGAATAAAGAACAATTTCCTACAGACTTCTGTAGTGTTGGTATCAGCGATACTCACCTTCAGTCATAAAAAAAAGATGCCATTAAACAAATATTAAAAATATACTGTCTTTGTTGTTTCTACATTAATTTGAAGATTGAATATGAAATTATTGCAATATAAAAGCATATTTAAAAACTTTAATGTTAGGTGGGATTAATCATGATTAATTTTAGAAAACATGTGTGATTAATTAGTTAATTAGTTAATAAAATTGGTATTTATTCCTGGCCACTGGTCATTTGAAGAAAGCAACATTAATATTTTTAATTTAAAAGAACTTTAATTAAACGTTGAAGCAATTAATTAAAATGGGAGCCCTAATAATAATGTTTTGTGAATATATTTTATAAAATCTGTTCTTCGCTCTTTCTGAATGCACCTTGCAGTCAGCTCTTTTTAAATGGAGAGTTCACCCAAAAATGAAAGTTCTGTCAATTTTTTCACCCTGAAGTTTTTCCAAACCTGTATAAGTTTCTTTCACAACACAAAATAAGATATTTTGAAGAATGTGGGAAACGCACACAGGTCTGGAACAACATGAGGGTAAGTAAATGATTACAGAATGTTCATTTTTGGATTAGGGTTAAGGCTTAATCTTTTTTAACATTGTTATGCAGTCCAGTATCAGGAAGAGGAATTGCTGGAAGTAATGTTTGGACTTTTTTGGATGTGACAGCTGATTAAAGAAGCATGATGGCAAATTAACGTATATATATATTTTAAAAACACTTGCTGACCAAATGGGGTTAGAAGAAAGTTCATTTCTAATGTTTGTAATGAACAATTAGTAGCCAAGGACCAGACATGAAACTTACGGTGCATGCAGAGGAAAGGGAGAACGTTTGAGCAGACCTGATAACTGATTATACCACCAGGATCTGAAACACCACAAGGACTATGCAGCCCAGATTGTAAAGGCAGTCTAGTAAAGGAGGAAGTGGAGACATTTGTTTCATCTGACCATTTCCACACGTCTCTGAAGAGTCCAATCCAAGCATTTGCATATGGTTTCATCAGCACACTCAGCTGGTTATTTTCAGTTTGATTCTGAATGATGACAAGGTCTGTGTAATACTGTCTGCAGTAGCTCTGAGCATCCTTCCAGGTCTTGATATTACTGATGAAAACAAACCTGTTTACTCCATTCACTGTAACAAAAATATAAAATAAATTAAAAAAGGTTAAATTGCATTTATTTTTACACAGTGTAACTTTCACAGGGTAAATGTCAATGCTGAAGCCAGACTACAACTGTTCTGACTATTTTAAACCGGGCCTGTTATGGGGGGGGGATCAATTTTGCAAGAGGTCCTACTGGTTACGGTGTAACAAAGTTTTAATAAAAGAAAAAAAAAAAAAGGACAAAAGACAGGGGATATCCCTTTTCCAAACCGTATTAAACGGTCCATGCCAAATATTCACAAACACCATATTAAACGCTTCACAAATATACAAATTCCCCTAGCAAACAGTCACAAAAAAAAAAAAACAATGTCCAGAATAAATGAGCAGGGTTTTGAATACAGAATGTCCAGCAATGCTGATGACGATTTGTGCCAGTTTTGTAAATTAGTGCAGTTTATGAGCAGTTTAACGGTCTTATCTGTTGATGAGACTACAGATGCAATGTAGAAATCCTTGCAGAGGTAGGCCGGTTAGCTTTGGGTATAATCCTTGGACAGGTGCGATAACACACTCAAAGGAACACCAAAGTTGTACATCCACTCCTCATAGTTGTTAGCATGCAACATTAGCATGAATTGGATCAAATAAAAATCCTAACAACTAAACTAAAAGATAACAACTAATCAGAGTCCATACAGTAACCAAACAAACATAATACACAAAACATTAAACAGTAAACTCCACTAAAGGTTAAACTTAACAAAAGTACCCACAAATTACATATAGACAGCAAAATGTGAAAATAGAACAGCAAACTTAGTTGAGCAGCAAACTAAACGTTTCTCAGACCAGGATTGTTTTTATAACAAAGAAGCCATGAGGGATTCAAATAGAATCTGCTTCTTACTCTACTGCTTCCTGTCTTATACAGAAAAAAAGTGAGGCTACTGTGTCACCTAGTGGTCAGGATGAGCATAGCACCCAAAATAAACCTTGTGACAGGAGGTAACGGTTGCATATCCCCCCCTCTTAATTGGAAAGAGTTTCAAAAGTGCCATAAAAAGGCTTTACGTTTTGAACATGAAAAGAATCTACAAGATCAGGGTCATCAACAAAAGATACAGAGTAATTTACTGGACCAAGGCATTTGATTACTTTGGCAGGACCTTTCCATTTTGCAGCAAGTTTGGCCATAAACCCATCGGTAGCCCGTGACAGAGAATGAGTACGAACCCAAACCAAATCTCCAACCTGGAAGAGAGCTTGTCGTCTTCTTAAGTTGTAGTAGTGATGTTGTTTTTCTTGGACTCGTTCCACATTCCTTTGCATGGTCTGGATCAACTCTTTGTGCCTCTCCAGAACTGGGTATGCTGGGTCAGGTGTTTTTGCAATCGCTCTCTCTAAAGGACCTTTCAGCTTTCGCCCGAGCATGACTTTGGCTGGAGTGAATCCTGTATTCTCCTGCCAAGCTGAGTTAATGGCAAAACGGAACTCTGCCAACCATCTATCCCAATTGTGGTGACGGTCTTGAACATATGAGGTGATCATGGTTTTGAGAGTACGGTTGACTCGTTGTTAGGTTTGTTTGAGGGTGTGCAGTAGTGGCTAGTTTTTGAATGACACTCCATTGTTTGCAGACCAGGCAGAGAAGTTGCGAAGTAAACTGGGATCCTCTGTCAGATACCAGATACATCGGGGTACCCCATCTGGTGAAGATTTCTTCCATCAGGATGCGTGCGATCTGTGGAGCTTTTGCGACACACAAAGGAAACAACTCCACCCACTTTGAACAGTAGTCCACAATTACCAGAAGGTGTTCATTCTGTTTTGGACTTTTGGGAAATGGTCCCATGAGGTCAACTCCCAGCATATGTCCAGGTTCCACTACTGGTGTAGACAGCATATGGCTGGCTAGTTTTGCAAAAGATGGTTTGTGCTGCTGACATACCTGACACCTTACAATGCTCCACACATTTGATCGCAGAGTAGGCCAGTAGCAAATGTCCACAAGTCTTAACAGAGTTTTGAGTCTGCCAAGATGTCCACTTAGAGGGTTGTTGTGTGCATAGTTGAGAAAATTTTGTCTTGAGCAGGTAGGAATGACTAATTGAAGTTTGGGCCCTTTCGGGCCTTGCGGCATGCTGCGGAACAGAAATCCATTTTCCAACAAGTAATGAATGCGAGTGGGATCTGGGTCAATGAATTTGAATTTCTGCGTCTTCCTGTTGGGCTTTTGCAATGTCGGACCATTCAACAGGAAATGCAGAGAAAGTGGTTGATGAGTCCTGGGATTTTACCTGTGACAGCATAGTGAGTGGCGAGGTATCTGGGAAACTGCGTGAGAAGGTATCTGGTACAATGTTGCATTGACCCTTATGATACTTGACAGTGAAATCACACTCTTGCAGGCGAATGGACCATCGAATCAGACGTGAAGATGGTTTTGGGTGGTTAAATACCCAGGTTAGAGCTGCGTGATCAGTGATCACCTCAAATTGTCATCCTTCCAAGTATGGTCTCCATTTTTCGACTGCCCATATCACTGCACAACACTCCTTCTCCAAGACTGAATACGATTTATCAGCTCCTTGTAACAGACGCGAGGCGTAGGCGACAAAGTTCTACACCATCTATATCTTGGGTCAAGACTGCTCCCAAACCAATATCACTAGCGTCAGTTTGGACTCTAAAAGACTTTGAGAAATCTGGGGCCATTAAAACCGGGGCACTGATCAATTCATGCTTGATCAATTCAAAAGAACTCTGACATTCCTCAGTCCAAGTCCAGGTAGCTCCTTTTCTTTTCAAGGCATGTAATGCGGCGGCTTTCTCTGAAAACTGAGGGATAAATCTGTGGTACCCTCCTGCTATACCTAAGAAACGTTGCACTTCTTTCAGAGACTTGGGGACAGGAAAGTTAGCAACAGCTTCAATTTTAGCAGGGTCAGTTTTGATTCCATCTGCTGAAATTACATGTCCTAAAAACTTCAGAGATTTCTGCATCAAGTTACACTTCTGGAGGTTCAGGGTGAGACCCGCTCGGCTTAGACACTGGAAGACTGCTCTTAGGTGGACTAGATGTTCTTCCTCAGACTTGGAGTAAACTACCACATCGTCAATGTATACAAAACAACTCTTACCCCTTACGTCTTTCAGCACCAACTCCATCAATCGCTGGAACGTGGCTGCGGAGTTTTTAAGGCCGAAGGGTAGACGGAGAAATTCATATAGCCCTAATGATGTGGTGAAAGCAGTTTTGGGAATACTCTCTGGCTCCATTTTAACTTGCCAATACCCGCTTTTGAGGTCGAGGGTATTGAAAATAGTAGCTCTGTACAGAGACTCAAGGATCTCATGTACTTGAGGCATGGGGTAACCGTCCAAGTACGTCTTTGAGTTTAAACCTCTAAAATCAATACAGAATCGCTGACCCCCTCCCTTCTTCGGTACCAGGACCACAGGTGCTGCCCATGGAGAAAATGAGGGTCTGATGATCTTCTTGTCCAACATTACCTTGATTTCTTGTTCGATGAATTGTTGTTTCTCAGCTGATACTCGGTATGGTTTCTTGCGGATGGGTACTTCACTGGTTGTAATGATGCGGTGTTTGACTACATCAGTGTGTCCTATTTCATTGGTGCAAAGAGTGGGCCATTCTCTCAGCAGATGTTTAAGTCGGAGCTAATATTCTGGAGACATGTCTGCACTGGTAACCAGTTGATGCACATAGGTCTGTGTTTCATGCGACTCTTCTGGTAAGGGTAATGCAAGGTAGAAAGACAGCAATGCATTGTGATAATTGAAAGGCATGAATAAGAATGTTTCCTCTTGGCAGTGGTTTGAGGCAGGCAAGGTGTAATCCAAACTAATTCCGGTAGACATTAGAAAATCCATACCAAGGATGACGGGTACAGTGAGATCTTCATCCTTCAAAACATACAAAGTCAAATCATACCTCCTTCCTTGCACTTTGCATTCACAGTTCCACACCCCCAAAGCAGATAACACTTGGCCGTTGACTTGCTTGAAGGTCTGACCACGACTGGAATTCAGCTGTTCTTTGTGTCTCAACTGTCTCCAACAGGATTCCTGTAGTAGAGTCAGCGAACTACCTGTATCAATCATGGCTTGAAAATATCTCCCATGGATCAATATTGGCAGGGTGAGTATCTTCAAGTTGAACAGATTGGCATTAGAAGCAGACTGTAGAATATGAATGTGCCATGGATTGGCCTTGGGATGGGTGTCTCTGTCGGTTTGGTTTCTGCTGTTCTGCATTTCAGCATTAGCCTGACTCCAATACTTCTTGGCTTCTTCAAAATCTCTCTCAATTTGCGTGCCAACTCTCGCTAGCTCACTCACCTCTCTTACAGTGCCAGTTAACAAACTTGCGAGTCGAGGATTGCAGTTTCTCAAAATTGACTGTACGATCTCCTTCTCAGACATCTCCTTCTTCCATCTTAAACACAAAGCATGATAATGATATGCAAAATCTCGAATTGATTCTTTTGGACCTTGTTATCTTTCCAGCAAATGCTTGGCAGCTTCAGCTTCGTAATCGTCAAGACAAGAAAGCATGCAGGAAATCTTGTTTGAATTGGCCCCAAGTGAAAATGTGTCTTCTCTCTGCTAGCCCCTGTAACACTGAAGTGAGAGAAGCTAGTATTTCTGAGTCGGTGAGTGGTCGGAGTGCAAAATACTCCTCACCACGTTCAACAAAAGTAATAGGATCATTGTCTTTGTCTGAACCAAACTGTGGGAATTCAACCCTTACCGGAGGACGATAGGGAGCAATCGTTGCCATATCAGGAAGGCTGCGAGTACATTGATGAAGTTGCTCAGTACGTGGTCGATTGGAGTTTCTTGACAAGGCAGGGGTGAGCAAAGGAAGAGAAACTGGAGTAGACATGACATGAGCATATGACTTAAGCTTATTGTCGATCAGTGCATCTCTCCTCTTCAAACAATCCACCACTGACTTCCCTAAATCACATATACTCAGCTCAATATTTTTTTTTTATTCTCTCACACTCCCTTTCTATCTTGTAGGTCAACTTTTCTTCCAACAACTGACACTGCTCCATAAATTCAGAGTGTGAACAACATTGACTCACTTTTTGGGTGCAGGCTTGAACTTCACCTTCCAAAGCGGAGATGCGGTTGGTCAATGAATCCATTACCTGTGTTGAAGGGTGATTATCAGAAACTACGTCATCAGGAGGAGGAGGTGGGGGAAGTGGGTCATCAAGAGGAATGTTGGAATCATTATCTTTGTCAGAATTGATATATAATTCACTGAAAGTATGGATGAGCTCTTGCACAGGCCGTGAATCTCTTCTCGTAACAAACGGGCCTGCAGTGAAATCAGGATTGGGTTCGCACTCATCCTCTGCATCGTGTGATGTGACAGACATGACTGAAACACAACAGACGACAAGTAATAAACATAAGATGAACATAAGATGTCTTTTTGCAAATGTCCCTGTTCGGGCACCAATCTATAACTGTCCCGACTATTAAAAAAAAAAAACTGACACGCCAAGCGCCATTCCCACATCCGAGCTCGCACCTCATGTTTGCGGCTGAATGCCAATGATCATAATTGATGGACAACTATGCCCGTGAAAAGTCATCAGCAATCCGGTGCCAAGAGAAGAAAAAAAAAAGTGAAAACGAAGCCCGTGCATCACTTTCAGCAGGCCCGTAGCCAGCTATGAGGTCACCGAGGTCCGGACCTCTGTAAATTTTTCATGTTCAAAAATAAAATTTGTCCTCTGAATTACTCTTGCTGTTAAACTTCTCATATGAATGTCTGCATGACATGTATAATTCAGTTTAGACAGTTTGCAAGAATGTTTAGCGTCCGTGCGAGACGCTGGTGGAGTGAACGAGGCTTGAGAGAGTTATGAGGGTGTGGGTGCAGCCTCCGTGTTGCCAGATCCAGCTATTATAAGCATTTTGGACTTGTCTTTACCACTTAATTTGACACTTTAGAAAGTTAATAAAGTAGGAAGTTGCAGTTTAGGGTCAGCGATATCTTTATGTTATCTTATTTGCAAAAGATTTGAAAATTTCGGTTTATTTCATTTATTTTTCAGTTTTTGTTTGTTTTAATAGCAATATCTGTCAACACTGCATGATCGCTGGCACCTAAACTGACAGTATCAAAAAGGCCCATGGATACAACATTCGGTAAGGGAAATGCAAAAAAAAAACCCGTCATCAACGCTGTCAAAAACAGTAGCATTTAACACTAGTGCAAGTAGGTAGGTTACAGAATTAAATGAAATATGCAAGCACTAGCCATGAAGAAGTTTCTTCCAAAAGAGATGCTGTTTCATTCAGTATAGTAGTTAAATTTTTTACAAATCATGCTATAAACATTCAAAAGAGCACTAGACAAAGTTATCAGCTATATAGCAATGGTTATTAATAAAAACTATAACAGTAATATGCATTGTTGCATGAATAATAAACAACTGATAAAATTATCCACCCTTAAATATAGTAAAGTATTAACAAATTTT